GGGAAAGAGGTGACAGTCCTTGTGGAACAGGAAGCCTATCAGGAAGCTGTGGTTTCAAGCACAGCAGACACATATGGCTGGGGGCTTGGATTTTTCAAGGTACAGAAGAGTTAAAATGCCCAGCTTTTACTGCTTTGCAAAACAGATCATGATTCCAGATTCAATTAAGGCCCTCAAAAATACCAATTCAATGCATAGGGTTTAGAATACATGCAGAAAATGTAAGAGTTTGGCATCTGGGAGCCTGGGTTTCACAATGCTGCTAATTTTATCTACTGCTTTTGGTACTGCAGGCCTTATTTTTCCTTAGTGGACTGGTTTTCACAAAATGCTGAGCTCAAATTGCTAGAGATATTGCCAATGTTCAGATGAGCTGTCCCGTATTGTTTCTTAACACTAAAAACCCCATGGATTTTAGAGATAAGGATTCCCCAGCTTAAGAGGTAACATCTTCGGCTGTACTCCATGGATAGATCCGTAAGTAAAACACGGAACATGAATGCAGCTTCCAGATACATTTACCTTCTTCCTCAGGTCATCTATCCTGTATCCCAAGAGTTCAAGGTATTTAACACGTGAATCTTCTTCAAAGTTCACCTTTAAAAAACAAAAGTTAAAGACATTGCAAATCACTGTTTTTCATTTTCTGCCTCACTGGCATTTTACTTGACTGGTACAAATTACTCAGTGAGAGCTAGTGACTGTGAAGAATGAGTGTAATAAAAACTGAAAAGGTCCTTCAGTGACTTAGGCACCCGAGCAGATAGGAAAGGCTTCAATTGGTTATTGTAGGTCAACAATCTGCTTATCTGCTTCATTTGGAAACTTCTAGATGTTCATAGTGAGCAGTGAAAAGCACATCTAAAGCTATTCTAAAGCTTTATCCCTTGTCACTAGTACCCTGTACAAAGATGTACTAATGGGGGACAAAAACCACAGTATACCTTCCCCAAAGCCTTGGCTTCTGCCATGATTTCTCATGAACCCCACAAACAGCCCTGGCCCTGAGGACCCTCTTCCTTCTGGTGGGTTATCTCCAATGACAGGGCTTACACGCACAATTCCCACAGCCTACACTTTTGGTTTCCAGCATCTCTTCTGCTAAAACACCATAATGGGTAGGAGGAGCCATTTCTGCACTGGCTTTCCAAGTCAGTGGGGAACTCCTGAACCGCTGTTACCCCGTTACCTTTAAGAAGGCCCACACGCTTTTCTCAAAGTCTGTCTGGATCATGTCGATTTTCTTCTGGCAGTAGCTGACAAAGCCTTCAGACTGAAGAGCCTCCTGCAGCTGGTTTGACCGGGCCAGGAACTCCTTCTCTGTAACCACCTGGCTCACATAGACATGGTGACGCTGCTGCTGCTGCTGCTCGATGCCCGACTGCTGCTGAGACTTGGCATTCTCAAAGGTAACCAGCTTGCCTCCAAACTGGAATTGAGGCACACAGGCAGCATGTAAAAATACAAGAATAACTGGAGTGTCTATGAAAAGGTATGCACATGATTTTATATAGCATTTATATGCTTATGGTCTGACGCACATTCTTGACATCAACTCATTGATTTATTTCTTCCCAGGCAAAAGACTGACTAGAAACTGAGAACTAGAGCTGTGGGTCTCTACAATGCCCAGCATAAATGGAGTATCCCATGATACAGCAACCTAATTGCCAAAGAAGCCTATGCATCATTAAATAAATGCCCAAGCATGATGTCTGTCCTGCTCTTAGCAGGCTGTTTACCAGTGAAAAGCCTACTGAAAGATCGGCAGTAAGTTGTGTCATCACTTGGAGAGAAGTAAAAAAATCAATAGAAGAAGAGAAATTAGAAGTTTATTTCATTCTACAGCTCAGAGTTTATTTACATGGGCAATAAATTACATAGGCATCATTACAAAAGCAAAACGCCTAGTCAAGAAGAAGACTGACAGTTGGCTCATAGAAAATCAAGATGAATAAGGGAGTAGACACCATTATAAAATTTACACGTCAGTCAGTGCCTGGCAACACCACTGGACTTTGATGGGAGAAAAGCTGCATTTGATTTGTGCATCAGATTGTGAATAAACAGATATATGATGCTGAAAACTGAGCGAGTGTTTCAGCAAAGAAATCCTCTGTAAGTGGGCAAGCTAAAAGCTTCAAGAGATGCCCAACAAATGGCCCATAGCTCTAGAAAATAATCCAAAGGTGGAGCCAAAGCACAGATGACTGCTCTCACAAAAAGCAGGGCCTTGCCACACTCTCTTGTGGCTACTCTGCAAATGAACCAACCCAGAAGAGCCCTGCCATGTCCTGCTACCTTGATCAGAGCTACCCTGGGTAAGCTCCACAGCACTGACACACATCATCATAGGTTCAAGCTGCACTCAAGTCTCAGATACTCGCCCAGGTTGGTCCCCTACCAGTGCATATTTGTTTACTCCAAAGCACTGCACATAAAAGCAAAGCTCTACTCCCAAAACAGAATGAAACAAGTGCCTGTTGGCAACACAAAGTTTCCTCATTTCTCTTTCCCAAGCGTTTTTTTTTACACTTTTGCTGGCTTGCTGTCCCCATGTGCCCAGTCTGGAAGCTGCTGCAAACATCTCCTGCTGAGAAGACATGTGGGAAATTCTCCCAAGATGGAGCACAACATTGAACTCCCTTCTTCCTAACATGTTTTGCAAGTGCCACAGCTATTGCCCTCCCTGCCTGGCCAACCACGCCCAGACTTGTCTACTGCTTACCGAGAACGACGCTCCCACGGGTCGCCGGATCCATTTGGGTGGTTTCTTTAGTGGCAGAACAACACTCTGTGGGGTGTTCTGCTGGGGAAGCTGCAGGGGTGGGAGGGGCTGTCCCATACCAAATGGATCGAGGTTCCCAAAAGATGATGAAAGCTTCAAAAACAAAAAAAAATGGGGTGGAGGGGTGGGAACAAAGTGACGTATCTCAAATAAACTAAACCATTTCTTTGCTCCAGATTGGTGCTCCTGCAGGCAGGGCTGCAGACAGCCACCAAAGACTTCTCATGTGCCCATGTCAATTTTCCCCCCCCTCCTCTTTCTGTCCATGCTCTTAGCTGAGCACTTCTCAATACCTGGTCAACTTGCTTCTGCCTCAAGCCATCCATGCTGCCTCCCATGATGGAGTAAATGCTGATCCGCCCATCAAATGAAGCTGCAGACAAGACAGCAGGGTTCCTGGGACACCACTGTATGTCAAAGCACCACTGTGTGTTTGTTGGCAACTCATACAGCACCTGGACAGCAAAAACAAGTCCAACAAATATCAGGGCTGTTAGAGAGCACCACATCCAACAGTAACAATTCTCCTGCCTGCTCTGAGACCGGTTTGCCCTTCTTGCCTCCCAGCAGCCTCCACATCACTGTACACAATGACAGCGAGTAACTCCTGACAATTGCTAAACAGGAGATTATCACAAACAACTGCTTAATTTCCTTCTCTTCCCATTAAATCTTCTGTTTAATTCACACAGAAGTGGCTATGCAGGCTGGGCATGTCTGTGCTGTCCCACTGCAAGCTGTGAGCTGCTGCCGACACTCCCGCGAGCTCATTCAGAGCCTGTCTGGGTATCTCTATGCACTACATGGAGACAAGTCCAGGCTCCCAAAGTATATCTGTTTTCACAGGAAAAGTGGAAAATGAAAACCTGCACTCTGGGAAGACAGCCTCTCCTGCTCTGGAATAGACCAGCCCACCACTGCAGCAGACATTTAATGATAAATTAGGAGAAATGCAAAGACAAAGATGCTTACTGTTTTGCTGTGCCCCAGGAAACTGCTTTTAATAAAAACACACAGTATGATTCATCCACATGCACAGGATCCAGCTCAGATAGCTCATTTACCACCCCATAGCTTTTACACTTTCAGGCCAACATCTGAGTTTTAGAAACACTTCTCACTCTGTCCTCCAGTATTATTGACGAGTGCAGGCAAGGAGCCCTACAGAATGCCCGAAAGCCCTTCTTGTGCTCTATCTTAGAATGGCTTAGGTTGGAAGGGACCCTAGAGATCACCTAATCCAACCTCCCTGCCATGGGCAGGAACACCTCTCAGCTAGAGACTAGGTTGTTTAAGGCCTCATCCAACCTGTCTTAAAACACCTCCAGGGAGGGGGCATCCACAGCCTCCCTGGGCAATCTATCCCAGAGTCCTGACACCCTTGTACTGAAGAACTTCTTCCTAAGATCCAGTCTAAACCTACTCTCCTGTCCCTTGATCTGCTGGCCACACTCCTCTTGATGTGGTTGGCCTTCTGGGCTGCGTGAGTGCACTGCTGGCCCATGTTGAGCTTCTCATCAATCAGCACCCCCATGTCCTTCTCTTCAGGGCTACTCTCAACCAGCTCTGTACCCAGTTGATAATTGTGCCTGGGATTGGCCTGACCCAGGTGCAGGACCTTGCACTTGAACCTCATGCAGTTTGCACTGGCCCATTTCTCAAGCCAGTCAAGGTCCCTCTGGATGGCCTCCCTTCCATCAAGAGAATCCACAGCTCCACACAGCTCAGTGTCATTGGCAAGCTTGCTGAGGGTGCACTCAATGACACCGTCCATGCTGCTGACAAAGATGGTAAACAGCACTGGACCCAGAACAGATCCCTGAGGAACTCCACATGTCACTGGTCTCCATCTGGACTTTGAGCTGTCGATCACAAGTGGTCCATTCATCCACCAAGTCCATGTCTCTATACACACAAGTTGCTGAAAAAAGGATCTGCATCCTTTTTGAAAGGTATCCCCAGCCCCAAAAGGGTGGGGTGGGAATGCATTCAAGTGGATCTGACTGATCTGCCACTACTGTAGTAAACTACAAAATCCCTCTGGTCTGGATAAAAGTTCTTACATTTACACAAGGAAAATGCAATTGAAACAGTAATCCAGCCACACTGGGCTCAAAACAAAAAAGCAGGAAACAAATGGTGCAAGTAGGGCTATTTCTATCCCTCATAGTGAGCAGGGATCTTAACTGCTTTGCAGGAGAGAAGTAGGAAGGACAAATGTGTAATAAAAGCAATACTAGGAAGGAATCCTGCACCACCAGATCAAGATCAGAAGGCAGATATACCAAACATGAGTACACAGGATAAGGAGAAACGTCCCACAGAAGCATCATTCCTAGGAAAGCAAGCACACCAACACCTGTCTTCACATGCCACTGTGACACCTCTGAAAAAAAACAGATTTACTTTTTTAAGTGGTACAATACCTCGCCTGTGTTAGGGTTGGAGCAGAGAATTTTAGCATCCTTCCCACAACTGAGCAGCAGCTCTGAATCCACCATACTCCAAGCAATGGCCAATATACCCCTGTGTGAAGTCACAACGAAAAACGTGTAATGTCAACACATCATGGTGATAAAGCATATATGCTCAGTTTCTACATTAGCTGAGCATTCCACCTCAAAATGCCTCACTCCTTGCTCTTACAAGAGCAGAAATCTTTCAATGTTGCCAGCCTTTCATTTAGTGAAATAGATGCTTTCTGTTTTCTGCATGAAGAGGTATAAAGGTGCAGCCTTTATGTCTGAAAATGAAATGCAAGAGTCACGTGGGAGGACCTGGACACCAGTGTACCAAAATGGGTTGCTTGCTTGCAGTACCATTAACATACAGTGTGCAAACCTGAAGTTAAGGTCAGTGACTGTGAAATTTGTCAGCTTCTTTTTATCAACAGAAGATTTAAGTCAGCAGAATCAGTGCCAGCAATTTTGGTAGAAGCTGCAACACAGAATTACTGCTGCTCTCTCTCCTTATAGCCAAAACTGGTTTCGGGCAATAAGGACATTAACAACTGAGGAGGGACAACAATCTAACGAAAACTTTCCTTGTACCCAAATTTAAGGCATTTAGGGGACTGAAGGGCAGGGAGACTGTGCACGTCCATCATATGTGATGTTGTGCCCAGGTGCACCTTCACTCTGTTATTCAGACAAAATCAATGACTACTAACTCTTTGCACTTCAGTTCCCTTTTCAAAAAGCACAGAAACAAACTAGCAACTTCAGTGTTTCACCAAGATGGTGGTTTTGTGTGATTTTTTTTATTTATTTATTTTTTAAAAAAATTTAATTTCATTTTCTTTTGGGCACATTCCCTTCAAACCAGCAGGCCCCAAAAGGGCAAGCCTTTCAGGACACAGGTTTGACTGCTCAGCAAGCCAGCATATAACACTGCCTGCTGCTGGAATCGCTGCCTTCAACTAAGTGAGGGTTCACAGGGGACTGAGCAAGAAGCAAGAGGTACACGCTGGAACACAGTCACCAGCAGTGCAAACACCACAGAGCAGCAGGCCACACAGGACCCATCCTTACCTTGAGTGGCTTTCTAGAACACGAAGTGGTGAGGAGGCAAATCTCAGGTCCCACATCTGGATCACAGGCAGCCTGTCATCCTCTGAGGCCAAAACCATCTGAGTAGCAACATCAGGGTGCCATGCCAGGCCTGAGCAGTGCATCTGAGGGACAACATTGTGCCACAGCATAAGATAACTATGCAGCACTACATGACAAAAGATAACTAGCTTAAATATGTCTACATGCATGGTAAAATGTGAGGAAATCTGCAGCTGGGTTTTGGGGCATTATTTCTGACTGCATTCAGACTGGGATGCTCTCATTTCTGTAAGAAGACTTTCAGTTAGTCTGCAAGTCCTCTCAAAGAGATGACTTTGTGCTGTCTTGTTCACAGCCCTGTGTTTTAATGTAAGAAAATTGTAAAGCCCTCTGTAGAAACCTAATATTTTTATTGGTATTTTAATAAAAAAACGTAATTAGGCAGAGATTACTGTCATGTAAGCATTGTATCACTAGACTACAATCACATGAGAAGACAGCCTACTGCACTGCTGTTCTGTCAGGTAACAAATACACGAAACCATCAGTTACAGGGTTGTGCAGTGACCAAGCAGCTCCTTGAGGAACATCCATTTGTAAATTTTGTTTTGAATTCTTGCTACATCTTCAAAGTTTGTTATAGTAATATACCATTTAAAAAATAAAGAATTATACAAATACCTCATTCTCCACAAGTTCAACAAGCTCTTTTTCACATGTATATTGCCCAAGGAGCAGGCATGGTGGTTTTAAGTATTTAAGGCAGTGCCCCCTGTAACCTGCTAAATGGCAACACGCCTCTGTTGCACTCTCCACCATAGACCCTAGACCCTGCCCTCTCCAAGCTCAGCTACAGCCTGCTCCCATTTCCACGTCCAGATCAGCAGAAGCACAGGCCTTAGCTCCACCAGTCATCAGTGCCCTGCCAGGGTGTGGCAGTTTTGCCTAGCACAGAGTTACTTTTCTTCATAGCAGCTGGTACAGGGCTATATTTTGGATTTATGTTGGAAACTGTGTTTATAATATGGGGATGTTTTATTTATTTCTGGGCAGTGCTTACACACAGTCAGTCTGCTCCTAACACCACTTCACCAGTGAGTAGGCTGGGGGTGCAAAAAGTTGGGAAGGGACACAGGACAGCTGACCCCAACTGACCACACAGATATCCCATATGACCTCATGCTCAGCATATAAAGCTGGGGAAAGAAGGAAGGGGGGGAATTCAGATTTATGGCCTTTGTCTTCCCAGTAACTGTTACGGGTGATGGAGCCCTGCTTTCCTGGAGATGGCTGAATGCCTGCCTATGGATGGGAAGTGGTAAATTCATTTCTTGTTCTGCTTCACTTGCATGTGCAGTGTTTGCTTTACTTACACTGTCTTTATTTCAACCCGTGAGCTTTCTCACAGGAGGAGGGGATAGGGGTGAGGAGTGTGAGAGGCTGTGTGGAGCTCAATTGCCAGCTAGGATTAAACCATGACACAGGGCTCAGCCCCTGTGCTCATCCTACCTGTGATGCCAAGGAGGAAGCCCCTTCTGCCTGATCAATAAGTCATCACAGTGTCATCTGCTCTGCAAAATGAAATGTGCTCACCCAGAGCACACCAGCTGCAACCTCATCCCACTAGCACACAGAAAACATGTCACTTCTGACTAGCTGCATAAAACTTCCTGTGGTGGTCCCAAACAGATCAGCAATGATTTCCCCCAAACTAATTATTCGCTCTGCTAGGAAGCTGAAGTGCCATGCATCTGCCTGTTTTCTGCACAGGTGCCTGTGGAAGCACAGGGGAGGCACCTCACCCGGCTGTTGTGGTCGCTGACTTTGATGATGGGCTCGTTCTTCCGCAGGTCCCACACGGTGGCCCGGCCGCTCGGGCTGGCGGACGCCAGGATGTGCTGCACTTGCCTGTTCCACGCGACGCAGCTGATGTCCTCCAGAGGCTGTTGCACACACAGGACACCCCGTCACAACCTTCCCAAACCAAAGACTCAAAACTTGTTGTTTTCAGGACTTGCTAAATGACAAATCCGCAAGTAGACCGCATGTGTTCTTGTAGAACACCTGAAAATCCCCAATTATAAGCTGCCAGCATTTCTCTATAATAGCCATGTTTTCTGCTTTGCAACAGGATACATTAGAACAAAAGACTAAGCACAACTGTCTTCAAGAACAGAAGATTACTCCATAAAAGTATATCTGGGTTTACAAACTGCCCTCTTCACTTCAATTATTGGGTTCTGACTTTACAAAAGAAATTAAAGTTCACTTGGATGAATTCTGTGGGGCTTTTTTTATTCCTCCCCAACTACTTATTTCCAGTATGAGAATTAAAAGCAATGTTAATCCAGTCCTTGTTGCAATGCTATTTCCAGCTGTCATTAAGCACACTGACTAAAATATTTCCCAGCCTAAAAAAAATTACTATTACACAAAATAATCCAGGGATCTTTAACTAAGGTAGGCACCCTCCAAAATGCCCACATGATAACAGACGGCTAGATTGAACAAAGTATGCAAACCTACAGAGTCTAAACTAGAAATCTTTAAACTGAAGACTACTTCTCATCCTATTTCCTCACTTTGTTGTCTCCAAATTATCATGCAGTAATAAACCCCATTTTCCAGCAACCATAAACTCCTTGTGCAAATTTGTAGCAGCTACAAAAACACATGCATTGAAAAAACTTCCTCCCGTATCTCCTTCACAAGGCACAAAATCAAGACTTTTTTCCCATAGATCTTCTTTAAGAGATCTAAAGGCCAAACACTGACAAAAGCTAAACACTGGCCTGTAAGTATGGCAATTAACACTCCCTGAAACCCATGAAGTTAACTGCCAAACCTACTGCCACATCTGACTTCTTGGTAGCTGTTTTTTATCTTCTTCCTATTTTCCTCAGTCTGTACCTCTGCAATCCTCAGGTTAATGCACAGGAAGACCAGATGATGTGCAACAGTTATGGATATTTTAAAAGTGGTGTACCCTGAGAGAATCAGCTCGTTATTACCTGCTGCTTGACAAACTGTACAATTTTGCAAAGACTGAGAGGATACTTTAGCTTTCCCTGGCCAAATGCAATTTTAAAATAAATAAAATCCCACCACATGAAGAATGAATCAGCTGCTTGTGCAGCCAGCCAAAACTGCAGGTCTGTTGTGAATAAACACGACTGCATTATTCAGGGTCACTGCATGGGAGGCAGAGCAAATCCGCATCGCGTGGGCAGGCGCAGCCAGGAAACCACACCCCAGGGGCTAGAAAATCAGCCAGGGGGACATGGAGCCAAAAAAGATCCCGGCTAGAGACAGTGGCAAAATAGTGCTGCCATGACTGACTTTCTTCCAAAAGAGTTCACTGAAAGCTACCTGTGCTGCTGCTCAGATGGCACTGTCCTTAAGGACATGGGCTCCTGCTGTACAGTGAATCACAGCCATGTCACAGAGAAAGGTATTTCAAACCTCACAGTCTGATCAGCACATTACAAAACTTAAGTACCAACTGAAGGCCTATTTTTGTTGGACTTCAGGAAAGCCACTGGAGAAAAACATGCAGGAACATTTTTTGTTTGTTTTGATATGGGGAGATCTGTTGTACTACCCCTTAAGGACCGTATCTAACATTAACAGAAGTGTAGCTCATGGCTAACTATAACTCATACCCAAATTAAGACTTAAAAAGGTGTAGTTTTTTTTTTCCTGCTGTTGAGACAGCTTTAACTTAAAGTGACATGCACACTTTTCATTAAGTCTGCTCTGCAGTGTTTAACAAATGCAAATCTGGTACCTGTGTCTTCACTCCTGGTGTCATTGGCGTGGCAAAATTGTTCAAGTCCCAGATATAGATTTCAGACTCATTAGCACCAGAGGCTATTAGATTACTCTGTAAGACACAGTAATAGATGTTAAGAGTATTTTCAGTATCAGCTTTCACAGTCTTAGCTGCTGGAAGGCATTAAATCCACAAGATTGTGCCAGTTTCTCCTGTCAGCTCAGGATATAGCCTTTGGCTCATAGATAGCAACTCGGGGAAAAAAAGAAAGGGTTTTTTTTGAGATTGCAGGCAACACTGAGTTAATTAAAAAAAAAAACAACATACACAGCACTAAACTATCATTCCAAGACCAAAATTCCCATTTGGTGGAGTGCTCCTCCACTGCATGGCAAGCATCCCTAAGGAGGTTGCAGGGGCACAGCCAGACAGGCAAGTGAGGAGCAGTGACACTTCTGGGAGGGTGCAGAGGAGGCAGTGGCGCTGCAGCCAGCACTGCTGCAGAGTGCTGCAGCAGAGCTCTGCTCGGGGCAGACCACGAGGTTCAGGCCTGGAGGACGTGTGGTGTTTGTATCCAGCACCCCACCCACAGGGAGTGCAATCATCCCGAGCAACCCCGTATCTGGAATGCAAGAGTCCAGGCAGGGCCACACGTGCCAAGGGCGACCTGGAGCACCCTCTGATCACATCCTGCTGGTGACAAGCAAGTCCTGACTGCATAACGGCCAGAAGGTGAAGGGAAGTAATTTCAGAGAGGACAATGAACACAGGGTGGCCTTACTGAAAGCAAGTATGCAGAGGCAGAAGTGCTATTTAGGAAACAAATTCAACTGAATTCTCACACAGCTGGTGGGGACAAGAAAGAACCAACCCACTGTATCTAAAAGGAAGTAAATACTCATGTAGTGATGGAAGAAAGCTTGTTGGTTTTGAGAGCTCTACTGCTAAAGAGGCCAAATCACTGTGTTTCCTACTCAGTTTCCTCTTTCCGAGTAACAATACTCAGAGGTCTTGGAGACAGCCCCCAAAAACAACACCTAAAATCTGAATGAGATCATGTAAATACTCCCCGTGTGGTGAGAAAAATACTGGCACGGTTTGCAGGAACTAAAAAAGGAGACTGGCTACAAATAACACTGAAGACCACCTCTAATATAGATGTATTTAGTAATTTAGACCCACTAAATCGACACCAAGCTGATGAGGGGAAGGAATGAACCAGACAGCTGAAACTCCTTTATTACCCATCCTGAAATGCCAGTAAGATAAGAGATACTACATACAGAGACTCAACTACCAAATTTAGTTCATGTTTCTCAGGGGAGGGAAAAGGGTCAGAAACATTTAAGGTTACAAGATGAGACAGGACACTCATCAATGACAGCATGTGAAGAACAGCAGAAAACCAACCTGGAACATATTGACATCCAGCGCTCTTACTGGTCCCGTGTGCTTGTCTTTTTGGGCAATTATTACTTCATTGTCTCCAGCTAAGATTTTGGCTGGGTCATACAGAATGACATTTCCATTTTCACCCCCAGCAATCAGGACTCCAGAGACACGCTCATCCGAGGTCATGCTGTGTGGCCCCCAGATCAGCTTGTGGTACCTGGAAGACACAGAGGCCCTCACAGTCTACAGCCATCCACCACCAGCTCCACATACACTGACCATCCCACTTTGTTCACCCCAGCTAAACCCTCCAGGCTGCTGCTAGCAGACAGAGCAGACACATCAGTCAAAGCACTGCCTGCCTTTCTCCCTAAGGATGAGTCTGTACTTACAACCCCTTCTGTCAGAAAGCAGTGTCCCAACTCTGCTCAGTATCAAGACACAGGGTCATGACAATGACAGGTACAAACAATAACCTGGTAACCAGCAACATCTCTCATCTCCTGTCTGCAAAATCAGGTATGGGCTCCCAAATGCACAGGATTTTGAGCTCCACTTTGCAAAACAATAGAAGCAGTCAAAGTAAGGACTGCCAGCTGGAGCCTGCAGATAAACATCTGCCATTTGTGAGGGACAATTGGTAGAGAGGAAAAGGTGGAACTAGAAAAATTCCAAATCTTTTTCCGTATCTGTGCTTCTGGACGTGCAACGATTTAACCTGCTGTACTGCAGGCTCAGCAGGCAGCTTATTCACATCACGGACATCGGTCTCCAGGACCACAATCTATTTTCAAGGCTAAATCAAGAGGAGTAAGACTTCCAGAAATGAAGTATTTTCACTCCACTGTGTCTGGGCAAATACCCAAATTTCCTTCAACTCAATGAACTTGCTGTGTAAGCAAAACAGCATTCCTGTGTATTGAGCGATGCAAAGGATGATTTTTCTTCCTTCTACATAGAAGGACACTGTCACACATCGGCTCTTATGCAAGCAAAAAGCAAATCCACGTTGACTGGAACGTGGCAAGGAGTTACTTTAGCATCCCCTGCGTTACTATTAACCTCATTATTTCTGGACAACCTTAAGGTAATTTCTTTAAATCGCAGCAACTTCAGCATCATAAAATACACACTGCAGAAAGCGAGGCAGAGCATGCGTGGGGTGAGAAATACTGTAACAGACAAGTGCTCAGCCTCCTAGTGCAGCGTTCAGATTATGGTGGGGATTCACTGAAGAATTATGCTACAAAAGGAAATTGGTCTGTGATATCAGACACAGACCCCTTCCCAGGGTACAGTTTTTATACTTCTGCACCTAACAATTTAAGGTTATGAGAAATGGAGTGACTGACAGGGCTGCCTGCACACTAGTATTACACCACCAGCAAGATTCAACAGGACTTAATCCAAAATGAAGGCAGAAAACAGTGAGGAACAAAAACCAGAGTTAACCGTGCAATTACTTTCCTCTTGCCCTTTGCTCTCTCCAAGATAAAGTCTATCTCTATAAAAGCAGTGCAAAACTTTCCTTGGAAGAGAAATAAAGCTTGTGGCAGGTTTAATATTTTGTGGGCTTAATCACCTGAACACTTCCATTTGCTGCAAACCAAAACAAAGCCTAATGTATACATTGCTAACTGGGGCACTCCTCTAATAAAAAAAAAAAAATCAGCCTCCTTTTTAATGTATCTTCTGTGGCAAAGTCAAATTAGATTCACAGAATCATAGAATCCTTTAGGTTGGAAGAGACCTTTAAGACCTTTAAAATTCTTGTGTTGCTCAACACAAGAGGGAAGTATTTTCAAAGGAGCACTGCATTCTGGCTATAACGAGTGGTTTTTGAAATTCAGTAAGCAAATGTCACTTGAAAAATCTGTCATAGTTAAGCTAAGGTCAAACAAGGAAATCTGAACAGATCAAACACCTCATTCTGCTCTCCGTGGGTCAGTAGGATGTGTTAAGATCAGTTCTGCCCGCAAGGCAGGGCATTAAACAGAGACTGTGGCTGTTTACTGCAAGTCCCACATACTAAAATGCAGGCAGCTACAGGGCACAGATCATGAGCAGTCTGCCAGCCCCATGAATCATTACACCAAAACTGACATGGCACAAAGCCAGCAGCCTAACACCTTGTGCTTCCTCCTGCAAACGCTACCGCAACCCTTACTTATCCGTACCAGGAGAGCGTCCTCAAGCAGGCTCACAGTCTCACTGTGTGCAACCACACACCATTTCAACCCCTCTCAGGTTGTTTGTAGGCAATACTTAACCTTTAGGACCCCAGCCAACTGCTCTGAGTCAAGAACTTTGGGAAACAGTTGTACGTCCTTAGGTCTTGAAGTTACAGCTTTAGAACAGATAATGAAGATGCAAGTCAAATTAATTCCTACTTATGTCAGAGGTGGGGGAGATGGCAACTGGTTCTCTAGAAGTGTCAAGTTATCATCTGCCAAAATGGTGTAATTGCTTGCATCTCCTGTCACATCATTTCAGGTCACCAAGGGAAAAAGGAGTCATGCTAATGCTGTGGCTGATATCTAAGAGTCATGGATCCAACCCAGTGGCAATGAAAATTTTTACCTCCTGCTCTACCCACAGAAACATCCTAGACTTGCATCTATGCTCTTTCAATTCACCCACAAGTGGCAGCCACCAGAGAGTCACTACAAGTGCTGCTAAGATGGAAACTGGACACTGATCTAATAGCATTTCTTTGTTCAAGCACATAGTAAGGAACTAAGAGCTAAGTGGAGTTGTACAGTCAGGAACATACACAACGTGACTGAGTTTAGTCATGCTACAGGAGTCTCCCTGAAATACCTAAATGCAAACAGGATGGGGCAATGAGAAAAGCTATGACTGCATTTTCATAATTTCACACTTTCTTCTGGTCTCTGGAGAACCCCAGAGGCTTCCCAAGATAAACAGTCTACGTACTTACGAAAACTTACCAGCCAATGTCAGATTTTTTTTAGGTTTATGTCAGAGCATGAGCTCCTTGCAACTCCGAGTCCAGGCTCACTGCCTTCACAATGACACTTCAGTGTCACACAACATCAATGGCACGTATGTGTCTTCATTTTTCAGCACTAAACTTCTGCAGACAAACTGCATGAAGTGGCCTTTCCATACACACAGTGTACAACAGTCCCACAGCCATTAGTTTTCCTTTATAACCTTACTGCTTACCTGTGAGAAGAGGAGAAGGTGGCACAGGACTTCATATCCAACAAAGGGTCTGATAAGTCCAATTCAAATATTTCCAGAGAAGCACTTGTACTAAAGGTTGCATCCAGTTGCTGAGCTGATGTACCTGCAAAGAAGCGCACTTGGCAGTGATAAAGCCATGATACCCAACAGAGCAACTACAAAATGAGCAGATGGAGGGGCTTAAAAACATCATCCTTTCAAATGGGGTAAATTTTCTGTTATTTAGATGTAATTCTGCATAATATTTCTCATGGTTTCCCCTTTGGCGGTTTCTTAACCAATAGGAACAGGGAGAGTTTTGGGCAAGTGCTTCTTTCTCTCTCCCTGACAATGGACAGAAAGTAATCCAAATTACAAGCAAGCAGCAACAGTCTAACCAGCTGTTAGGATTGCTGTCATCAGGGTAGAAAGAGGATGCTGCTTGCTGTCACTTGCAGAACGCACAACGTTGTTTTCATGCATAGCACAACTGCAGAACTCCACTAAGGGCACCACACCACATCACCCCACTCTCACCTTCAGGACACGGATTAACTTCTGCAATTTTGAACTACGATCACTTCATGGCAGCCACCACTTAGCCCAAGGCCTGCTGACACGTGCTTCCCAGAAACTCACCTGTGGCCAGGTAAATAGGGTGCTGCTGGGCAGGGCTCCATGCCTGCATGGCAGTACGATCAATTTCTTTCAGCTTCATTTTGCTGAAAAATAAAACAAAGAAAGTTAATGCTTTAATGGAGCATGGGGAGACTGCACTGCCACAGATTCAGGATCTGCATTAGGACTTAGCAAAAGAAGCGATTGTTTTCCTAAAGCTACACCAACCCAGACGTCTAAGTGGCCCTCTCCAGAACACATCCAAGGGAAAGGGGAGGAATGATTTTCCACTGGCAGAATAACATCAACATGTAGAGGGACCTGGTCGTTCCTGAACAGAGCATAGCACAGGAAAACGCGGGCAAAGCTTCAACTGTTCTGAAAACCCCTCTTCTAGCAGCACCGAGGCGCCCCTCGGGCAGCCTACA